CCGAGGCGGGTGGATCGCCTGAGGTCAGGAGTTCGAGACCAGCCTGGCTAACATGGCAAAACCCCATCTCTACTAAAAATAACAAAAATTAGCCAGGCGTGGTGGCAGGCACCTGTAATCCCAGTGACTCGGAAAGCTGAGGCAGGAGAATCGCTTCAACCCAGGAGTCGGAAGTTGCAGTGAGCCGAGATCGTGCCACTGCTCCCCAGCCTGGGCAACAAGAGCGACACTGTCTCAAAAAAAAAAAGAAAAGAAAAAAAATTTTTGAGACTGGTGTGGTAGCTCGTGCCTATCATCTCAACATTTTGGGAGGCCAAGCAGGGAGGATCGCTTGAGCCCAGGAGTTCCAGACCAGCCTGGACCACATAGTGAGACCCACCCTGCCCCCTCTCTACAAAAAATAAAAATAACAAAATAAAAATAAAAAAGTTAAAAATCAGCCTGGTGTGATGGTGCAGCCTCCCAGCTACTTGGGAGGCTGAGGTGGGAAGATCACTTGAGCTCAGGAGATCAAGGCTGCAGTGAGCCATGACCATGCCACTGCACTCCAGCCTGGGCTACAGAGCGAGACCCCATCTCAAAAATAAAATAAAACCTTGAAATAAACTATAGATTATCAGAGAATAAGACAGGAAATACTCCAGTGTATTACCCAGTGGGGTGAGTGGACCCTGGATAGGGGATGGAAAGCTCGACCAGCTCAGTATAGTGGACTGTGTGGGGCTGCGGAGGTGCCAACTTATCCACATGTAGAGTCACTCCTTGTCGGTGGCTGAGGATCTGGCTGAGAGACAAAAGGCAGACAGTAATGTCTACTCTCTGGATTCCAGAGGGTCTTTGATGCCACTTCCCAATTTGTCAGATCATGTAGCTATGAGGAACCAGGACTATACTCAGATGACACTTGCCATCTGAGATTTAGGCTGAGATTTAAAACCCTGGAAGATTAAACAAATTGTATAATACATATACAAAATATGTGTGTGTATATATATATAAAAGTATATATGAGTATTGTAATTGATATACATATATATGTATATCTATATCTATATATATCGAGATATATATATGAGCCTGGCTAGGTGCAGTGGCTCACTCCTGTAATCCTAGCACTTTGGGAGGCCAAGGCAGGTGGCTCACTTGAGGTCAGGAGTTCGAGACCAGCCTGGCCAACATGGCGAAACCCAATCTCTACAAATAGTACAAAAATTAGGTGGGCATGGTGGCACACACCAGTAATCCCAGCTACTCAGGAAGCTGAGACACAAAAATCACTTGAACCTGGGAGGCAGAGGTTGCATTGAGCCGAGATCACACCACTGTACTCCAGCCTACTGGGTGACAGAGTGAGAGTCTGTCTCAAAAAAAAAAAAAAAAAAAAGCTGACCGGGCGCGTTGACTCATGCCTGTAATCCCAGCACTTTTGGAGACCAATGCAGGTGGATCACCTGAGCTCAGAAGTTCGAGACCACCCAGGGAAACATGGTGAAACCTTGTCTCTACTAAAAATACAAAAAAATTAACCGGTATGATGGTGTGTGCCTCTAGTTCCAGCTACTTGGGAGGCTGAGGCAGGAGAACCACTTGAACCCCAGAAGGTTGCAATGAGCCAAGGTTGCACCACTGCACTCCAGCTTGGGCTACACAGTGAGACTCCATCTCAAAAAAAAAAGCTTATATTATTATATTAAAGCTTATATATATATAAGAAAGTGTAGAGATATCGTATGAAATATACAGTTATATATCTACATATGTAAATATAAAGATATATGAATTGCAACTATTAATAATAGTTAATATTTTTTAAAGCACTGCCATGAGCATTGCCCTGTCTTATCTCATCCTGTCCTCCCAGCACCTCATCCAGGGAGAGACACTGTTGTTATCCCCGTTTTACAGAAGAGAGAGGCAAGCACAACAAAACAAAGTGACTTGCCCAAGGTTAGCAAGTGACCAGTCAGGATTTGGACCAGGGTAGTTGGCCCCAGAGCTTGTGTTCTTAGCCACTAGGCTGCCCTGCCTCTTTGCATGAAGCACCTACTCATGGATGTGGGGCTGATTCCGGAGTTGGGTGGGATTATAGTACCTCAAAACAGAGGTGGCAGAGTCAAATTCTCAAGGGCTTTTGGATTTCCACTCTTGTGACATTATTCTTCCCTTTTGCCAGCTACAGTACCCATGTATATTAATACTGTGTGTTATTGTATTGTTTATTGTCATACTTAATAGAATTGATCAGACTTTTTTTCCTTTCTAATCACTGCTGTGACTCTGCATGCAAAAAGCCTGCCTTGTGGTATGGTAATAGAAATCAAAATTGTGGCCAGATGTGGTGGGTCACACCTGTAATCCTAGCACTTTAGGAGGCCGAGGCAGGAGGATTGCTTGAGCCCAGGAGATCAAGACCAGCCTGGGCAACATAGTGAGACACCATTTTCTATTTAAAAAAACAAAAAGAAATTAAATTATGTTGGCCATATAGGGAGATGGTACATTAAGCCTTGGGATTTTGATTTGAGGCAAATGCTGACGCCATGCTTAGAGACAGTTTTAAACTACGTAGACAATGCTGGCAAGCACTGGAGAAGGAATGCTACTAATCTTGGGGTCAGAGTGGATCACAAATTGGACACACTACGGATGTATATCTTCACTTTGTAAAGCTAAAGGATGATGAGCTTTTTTTAATCCAGAATATGATGTATTTGAACTGGAGAACAGATACTTTGCCAGTATTTGCTGAGCCGTGTTCCTGGTACCCTCTCTGCATGGGTTGCAGGAGCTGAAGCTGGCATCTGCTGAGCAGAAGGACATGGCCATGGGAAGAATATGTATTCATGGAGTGCAGCAGGTGTCTGGGTTCTTTTTATAACTTGTGCTTGGTGTTTATAAGAAAGCTTGTTCTGTTTGAATGGAGCCTCATAATGCCTGAGATAGTGTGTGAGATGAGCCTCATCAGCCAGGGGTATATTAGGAAAGAAAGAGGGTGCTATTTGCTTACTTTCCCCTCCCTTGTTGCCTCCTGTTCTACCTCTGCCACCTCCTGGGGTAACTACAGCCATGTGATAAGCTCTTGGAGTTCCAACAGCCCTACGTCAGCACCACACAATGGGGCCTTAACTAGGGGCCACCTGGTCCTGCCAGCTCCTCAACCAGGCCTAGCACAGGGCCTGGTGCTACAGAAGCCTCAGTGGAGGGCTCTGGGGAGGAGGGAGGAGCAGGGGTCCAACCTGCCATTCTGCAGATGAGGACCTTGAGACACAGAAACTGAGTGTGTTCTTCAAGCCCCACAGCTGTCAGGTGCTGAGCCAGGACTGGAGCCTGTCTAGGGCTTGTCTTCCAGTGCTCTTCTCACCATGTGGCTCTGGCTTCAGGCCCCGGCAGCCCTCCTGAGTCCTGCTGCTGCGTGGCCCAGGAGACAGATCTTAGCATCTATAGCCTTGGGTCCACCTGGCCGGCTGAGGCTGAGCTGTAGACAGCTGTGGGGTTTCCCCAACTATGGCCTTCCATGAACCCTGGGTTCTCGGGCCTATTGGTGCCAAAGGCAGAAACCCAGCTCCCCAGACACCTTCATCCTTCCAGTGGCCAACCCAGCAATCTGGAAGCAGCCCACTGCCCAGGCTGGCAGCTTGAACTCGCCCACGAGGTGGCTGGAGGGCTGCTGTGGTCAGCTGAGTCGTGCATGATGGGCAGACAGCCTCTCCCGCCATCTCCCTCCAGGCCATCATGCAACTTCCTCGGCTTCTCTGTGCCTTGGTGTTGTTTTCTCCCCTGTGCTCTTCCAGTTTGCACATAGCTGACCCTGGCTAATAGCCTCTGTCTCATGATCTCAGTTCCTAACTCCAAGGAGAGAGAATCCACTGCCCCTCTTCTAGCTGTGGCCAGTGGTCAGGCGCCAAGATACCCAGAGCTGCCCATCTCCTGCTAGGGGGATGGGCCTGAGCAGGGATGGGGGCCAGGCAGGGGCAGCGCTGGCTTTGGGGCTAGGAGCCAACTTGGGTTTGAATCTCATTCCCTGGTCTCATGACTCTGTGAGCCTCTGGCCAGGAGAGATGCCCATGACTGGGGACTTTGATGTCTGGGTGGCCCTGAAGGGTTTGCATATGGCATTCAGTCCCTTGCTGTGGGTCAGCACCAGTCTTAGTGACAGAGGAAGCATCCCTGCCCTCTCTGGCAACTGGCATTTTCAGTGACATGAACTTGGGCACACTACTATACCAGGCATGCCATTTCCTGGGTTGGATGGGAGGAAGGGGGCCTTTTTTGGCGGCCTGTGTGCCATGAGTGGGCATGACCAAGGCCCTGGCATTCCCCTACCCCCTAAACCGGCCTGACTCCTGTGGGGACCCAGAGTGTCCCCAGGCCCGCCTTGTGTGTGCCCCTCTTTGTGTCCCATGTCATGTGTGATGATGTGTGCACATGTGACCCATACCGGTTGGTCCATTTCCAACTGGAACAGTCCCTCCTGCTCCCAGGACAAAAACAGCCCCAGGCCTTTTTCCCCTGAAAGTTTGAGCTCCTTGTCTCAGAGAGGGAGCGAGCTCATGGACGGGGCCACAGTGGCTGCCTGCCTGCTCCATGGGGCTGGTGACATCCAGCAAGACACGTGTTCCTGAGGCCCAGCCCCAGACCCCTGCCTGCCCCCGCCCTGGCTTCCCTCTCTGCCGAGCAGGACAGGCACAGACACAGGCCCCTACAGAGGCCATGGGAGGAAAGGAGCTGGCCCAGACTGGCCTGGTCTTGAGTTCATGCTCTCAGCAGAACAAGCTCTGGGGAGCTGGGATCTCTGGGGCAAGGGAAGCTTCTCCCTGTGAGATACGTCACTTCCTACCTCCAGGGAGAGAGAAGCCACTGCCCCTCTTCGAGCTGTGACCAGTGGTCAGGCGCTGTGACCTTGAGCACAAGCTTCTGTTTCGGGAACAGGTCCAGGGAGCCACTCACCGGTAGAGGAAACTCAACCCCACCCCCATGACCTCTGTTTCTCCTCTTTGCAGCTGGAGGAAGCAGAGCGCTTTGCCATGATGGTGATCAGCCTCGGAGAGGAAGCCGGGGAGTTCCTCCCCAAGGGCTACCTGGCGCTGGGTCTCACCTATAGCCTGCAGGCCACCGACGGTGAGTGCCAGGCCCCAGGAGGCTTCTGCTTGGGGATGGCTCAGGCTTCCTAACTGCCTCGGAGGTATCTTGTCCTACCAGCGCCCATCCCCTCAGGCCATGCCTCCATAGGCACCCTGCACTCCTCTGGGACAGATGCCCATGTGTGTACACACACACACACATGCATACACACACTCACGCCCCTCCGACCCATTTCCACTGTTTCGCCCGAACTGTCGCCACCCTCAAACATGCCTTCCTCTCCCCTCTTCATGGACCCAGTTTCTCCCACCCCTCAAGGCCCAGCCCCAGCTCCAGCAAAGCCCATGCTGATCTTCTCTGTGGAACTCCTGCTTCCCGTCTGTAATGCGCCATCAGCCTTCCACCGCACAGTGTCTCCATTCTGGTTCTCATAAGCCTGCCCTTACCCTCAGCACTGCTATGACCTTCTGGAGCCTTTTAAATCCTCCTCAATACATGGCATAGGGCTGGGTACACAGCAGGTGCTTAATAACTACTTGTGCTCGGCTAATGGATTCTGCTCCTTCCTGCCCCACACCTGGCCTTCTCTCGACAACCCTGCCAGCTCAGCCATGTGTCTCACCCCGTCTATCAGGCAGCCACCTACTTTCATCTCCTGGTAGCTTGCTTGAGGGATGGGGAGTGACGGGCCACCACCCAGACCAAACCTGGAATAGTAATCAGCCCATGCCCACCTCCCCCAAACGCCAGTCGCTGGGAGCGGCAGTCACGGTGACGTAATCAGCCCATGCCCACCTCCCCCAAACGCCAGTTGCTGGGAGCGGCAGTTATGGTGACATCAGGTATAAATGAGCCCTACATAAGGAACACCTGGGTCTGCACATGCTGGTCAAGTGAGGGAGTCATCAGCCCCTTTGTCAAAGTCTACTTTGAGCAAGAACCCTCCTTGTGCCTTTAACTCTACAAATAGTGGTTGTTGTCTAAGCTTTCGAATCTGGGGAGCTCTGACAACTGTCAATGCTTGGTCCTCGCCAGTGGGATTCTGATCAGGTTTGGGAGGGGCCTGGATACAGTCATGTTAAAGCTTCCTGGGTAGTGAGTTAAGTGTGCAGCCAAGGCTGAGAACACCTGCCCTGCTGCATTTAAAATAGGATGCAGTTTACCGGAAAGGTGCCTGGTTTGGGTTCAAACTTCCTAGTGGGTCAGGAAGCCTAGAAAGGTATGTGGCCAGGCAGAGGTGGTAGCCTCTCTCTCAAGATTTGGGCCTCCTGAGTGGGATGCCCATGTCGTGGAACGCTTGCAGGCATCGGCCTTTGAAAGGGTTAAGGTGGTTCAGGTGGTGGAGAATGCAATGCAGTAGAAGCAACTGGCATGCCAAGGAATGTGCTAGAGGCCAGGGCATTGGCCCAGGCTGCCAGAGTTTGAGGTTTGCCAGATGGGGCCCTGGTGGGGCCTTTATCTGCAGAGCTGTGTGCTTTGAGGATGGTGCAGGGCTGGGCCGGCACCCTTCAGTGACCCCTGATGGCTCAGTCTCTGTCCTGTCCCCTGCAGCCACCCTGAAGTCCAAGCAAGATGAATTGCACCGGAAGGCACTGCAGACACTGGAGAGGTGAGTAGGCTCCCACCTGCAGCAGAGACCCCTCTTGCCTTTGGTGGCACATTCACAAGCTTTACCTCATTGGACGCTCTGATCTGGGCAGAACAAACATTTCTATCTCCATTTTACAGATGAGGAAACTGCACACAGCAAGCAGGGATATTCGTTTGGGGTTGGGCGGGCAGCCAAGCCCTACCCTCAGCTCTGGGGGGGCTCCAGCAGCCACCAGGCTCAGTTCCTGCTCTCCCAGGGCTCAGGGGTCTAAAATGGGAATAGTAACCCATTGCTGTTGTAGTAATTACAGGAGATAAAGCAGGAAAAGCACCTTGCACAGTATCCTATATGTAACAGGGGCTCAAAATGGCATTCGCCTCCTTCTAGCTCCTCCCCAGCCACCCCTCCCACTAAACCCACCCACCCCTCCCACCACCCCGAGCCCTTACAGGGATTTCCTGGCAGATGCTCAGAGCAGCGGGGCCAGCTTCTCTGCCCTGGTGCCTGACTTGTCACTCCCTCTCCCCATACAGGGCTCAGCAGCTGGCACCCGGTGACCCCCAGGTCATCCTCTATGTCTCGCTGCAGCTGGCCCTCGTCCGACAGGTAGGTTGTCCCTGTTCCTAACCCCCGGGTCCCCGGGGATGCTGATCTTCTCCTGGAAACCCAGCTTACCATCTGTGTGACCCTCTGCAAGTGACTTCACCTCCCTGAGCTTGTTTCCTTATCTGTCATGTAAGCCCTTTGAGCCCTCATCAGAGGGTCCCAGTGAGGATGAGGTCAGGTAATGTGGGTAAAGCCGTGGCAGATACACAGGAAGGGCATGTTCTCCGCCTTCACTCCCCCTACGACATTTCAGTGGCCTGAGATGCCGATGAGTGACCACCTGTCACTCATTTGTTTGTATCCTCGCCTTCCACTGCCTTTTCCCCAAGTGTCTTGGGGATAAAGTGGTGGGCTCATGGAGCTGTTGCAGGATGGGCTTTCTCTATGACCCCCAAGCTACTCCTTCACTGTGTGGACACCACCATCAGGCCTTGACCTCTGGGGCCCCATAGGGGCCTCCTGTCTGTTCACTGCCTTAGCTCCAGGACCACCCCCACTATGACTCTGCAGGCAGACCCGCCTTTTCCCCAAGGGTGCTGAGAGAATGTTGGTGTGTCCAGGACTCCCCACCTCAGGTCCTTCAGAGCCTCCTTTACTTTCCCGTGGCATCTCAGCCTGCAGGCTGGTACTCTGGGCACACACACACAGCCTCTAAAACAGGACCTCTCAGGTGACTTGACCCTGATGCCTACTGATGCCCCCCACCTGAGTGCCCGGGGATTGCAGACAAGCCTTTGGCTCCCACAGTGCGGTCTTCTCGCCTGCGTCACCCAGGAAATGGGCTGAGCTCCAGGCTGGTGGAGGGAAGCCCACAGAAGCCCATGTACTTGCTGTCAGGTGGAGGGCAGCCCTGCCTGCTGGGGGTGCTGCTGTGTCCCCCATACCAGCCTGGGGAAGCCCTACCTTCTGAGGAGGCAGGCCACAGCAGTCCCATTTTTTACCCGAGGACACCACTGAGGCCAAGCCAGCATAGAACCCAGGCCTCTGATCCACAGCCCACGGGGTCTAGGTACCCCGCTCCCCTGACCCTTTTGGAGATGGGGCCCTGGGAGCGTGCTCACCGGCTGGGGCTTAGTCTTATGGTCAGCTTGGTGAGCTGCGTTCCTCCTGCCTCTGGGGCAAGCCAGGCTCTGCCTTGCGTCAGCCTGACTCCTCCTCTCATCACAGTTACTCTCAGTACTGGGACCCCCTCCCTGTCACCCTATGCCTAGACCCTTATTCCGGCACCTGTGTCTGTCCTGACCTGAATTGTCACTCTGTTTCTGAGGCCTTCTGTCTCCCTCTCCAGGTCCTTCTGTCTCAATCATTTTCTCCCCAACAGCCCTGATGCCATTCCGGCTGTTGTTTCCGCTGTCGTTGGCAGCTTCGCTCCCTTCCTCTTGCACCACTCCTCCCCCTGTGACTCCCTCCATCCTCCTCCACCTCTAGGCTGCGCCCCCACCCTGTCCCCACTCCTCACTCCTGACCCCAGGTCCTGGACAGGCACGGGGTACCTCTGTGCCCCTCTGGGAGCATCCCTCCACTCCTAGGAAAGCCAACAGAAAGACACCTGATACCACTTTATTTTTAGTTCTCTGTAAAAGAACCAGTGCTTTTCTTGCTAACAAGGGAATGATAAACCTTTGGTGATGCATTTTTTGACCTGTTCAATTACTGACCCCTCTCTAATGAATAGCATCCATCCTCTTAGAGAGATGGCGGGCCAGGCCAGTGGAGCCTAGCGCCCAGTTTCCTTGGAGACCTCATTTTGGCAGCCTCAGGGAGTTGAGAACTCAAGAACTCCCTGAATGGACAGTCCTAGCCTGCCTGGGTCTCTGAGGCCCCCAGCCGGCCCATCCTGCCCAGAGCACGTCTGGCTGGCCGGCACAGTGATGGCTATGGATTTGGATACGTAGCCCAGGATAATCGGGTCTGCTCTGGCAGAGTCACCAGCACAGGAGCAGCCTTAGGGCCACCAACAAGCTGAGCCAGTGGCCCCAGTGATCTTAGCGTCCTCCTCATATGCTCCTTGACCTATCCACAAAGTAAGGTGCCCAGGGGAGAACTCTGGACCTGGCACTGGTGCCCACAGCCTGCACAGAGGCCAGGCTGGAGACCAACACAAAAGCCAGGCAGACTGGGGACCCAAGGCACCACGAGAAGGGCGGAAGGCTGGGTTTGAGGTTTGGCAAGAAGCAGGACTCTTAAAAAGAGACTCATGAGGTTCCTGCAGGGATGGAGCCCTGACATGGAGAGAGTCACAGGAGCTAACGCAGCTCCCAGGCCTGAGAGCGCGGAGGAACAAGTGCCTTCAGGCTGGAAGGAAGGGTCTTTCCTCTTCCTTAGTTTTCTGGCTTTGGGGCTTGAAGAGGGAAACTCACACTTCAAAAGTGTTTGTTCTGCCAGTACTTTGCAAGGCATTTTTTATAGTGTCTCATCTCCATGGACACTGAAATAGGTTTAACCATTATCCTCATTTTGTAGCAGAGAAACTGCAGCTTAGAGAAGTGAGTCTTCTTGCCCTAAGATACCAGCTGGGAAGTGGCAAAGCTGGGAGCCACACCCCAACCTGACCCCAGAGCCTCAGAGCAGGAGAGGATGTTTATCTGTCAGCCACACATCAGGTTATTTCCACATCACCGCATGAACATGTTCAGAGCAGGGGGTCTCAGCCATGGGTATGTAGCTGGCAGATTCTCTATCCCAGGGCCAGGCGTTCTCGGCCCTCCACCTTCCAGCCTGCTGCAAGTTTCTCTCCCAAACCTCTCTCTCCAGACCTGGTCACAGCCTTTCTACAGGGTGCAGAGCCTCAAGCTAAGGGTGCTGCTCAGTGAAACAGCAGTATGTGGGGGAGAGGATTCCCTGCATTCTGGGGAGTCAGGCCAGGTTGAAAGTACTAGGAGTCAGAGATGAGGAGGAGATGGCCAGCTGGGCCCTGCCATGCCCCTGGACCCACAGCACAAGGAGGGCTGGCCTTGACCTGGGACAGCTTTGAGGCCAGGCCCGTCACTCACCAAACACAGGCTTAGCAGCCTGCATAGCTCACACAAGAGCACTTGGCCTGGAGTCAGGACCCCCATCTGAGAGTGCCTGCTCTGCTGCTAACTCGCTCTGCTGCTAACCTGCTCTGCTGTGTGAAAAGAATGGAAGGGATAGAAGATAGCATTTTTGCACGTACATTAGCTCTTTGTACCCTTCTGTGGAAAAGCATATGCCTAATTTGCAGATAAGGGAACTGAATTCAGAGAGAACCAGGGACGAGTGAGTGAGGCGAGTGAGCGGCAGCGCCAACTCTAGAACCCAGCTCTTGTGTATTCACAAATACAGGACCCCTCCACTGGCCAAAACGAGCAGGATCAATCAGCTCAGATGATAGGCAGGAGGTGGGGGCTGCCCCAGGCAGGGCATGGCGCAGGGGTGCCCAGCAGGGTGCAGGGGCCAGGGACTGTGGGGTGTTTTGTAGAGAACGAGGAGATGACATAAGGGGGACAGCGGGCCACCTCAGAGGTCAAATGGGACTGTGTAAGGGGCTGCTGCAGTCGCCAGGACTGGCCAACCTCTTTTGAAGAAGAGAGTTTATGTTGGTAACTGCCAGAATTCTTTTTTCTCCTTAATGCTTGTGGAAACATTCCCCAGACCCTGTCAGGGATGCACAGGCCAGGGCCCATGGGGCGGGGAGCTTTTTCTCTGAGGGTAGTAACCTCCACAGCTGAATGTAGATGGGTCTGGGGACGTAGAATCGGAGGCAAGGAGAGGGGCCTCAGGTGTCTCTTGCATCCACGGGACTCTTAGGGCCCATCCTGGGGATGTTGTGTTATGCTGAGAATGGTCTCTTTAGGAAAGGGCTCCTTGAACCTTCCACATCCTCCCATAAGTCCAGCTATGGGCAGAGACCCATCCTGGCAAGGTGGCAGGTAGCCAAGCAGGTGTGTGGTCTCAGCCCTGAAATCATCCCCATAGGATGTACTGGGGCACCGACTGACCCCGTAACCCTGTTACCACTTGCAGGTGGGGCCCTGGCCACAGCTGCAAATCATCCATGCCCTCTGCAGCCAGATCCAGTAGAACATTGGAGTCCTGCCTGCGGGGTTGGCGGGAGCAGTAGAAGGTGCCCTTCCATGCTGCACCAGCCCCTCCTGGGCTCACTGACTGGGGTACTGGAGCAGCTGGGGCCTGCCCTCATTCATGCAGTGCTCAGAGAAGGGAGGCAGCAAACTCAAGCCAGTGAAAGTTGGGACCTGTGGTGACCCCTGGTCTCCCCACCACATGAAGGAAAGGCTTTCCTGAGGCCACATCCAAATCCAGACCCTTCGAGTATGGCTCTCCTGACCCTGCATAATCTGGCCTCATCCCACCTGTCCAGAACCAGGCTTAATAAATATTTGTTGAATTGAAAATAAAACACAAGACTAGAATCTGGATTCTAGTCCCAGATTCCCACTGTGCCCATGTTAGAGGCCAGTCTCGCCGTCTTCTAGGCACTTGCCTCTGCATACATCCCTTCCTGTGGTCAAGCTGCACCCCCTACCTGGAGCACCCCGTTTGCATCATCTCCTCCTGGAAAGCAGGGTCTCCTGACACATCAGTAGAACTCCAGGGTGACGTTTCCACATGTGGCTGCCTTGCCCTGTGGCTCCCACTCCTCCCATTTAGGAAGTACTTCGTGGTGGCTGCCCTGGTCCTTTGTGCCACACCACAAACCTGCTCCTCTTTATTCCTGAGGGTGACAGCAGACCCCTCCGCGCCAGGCCATCTGGGGCAGGTGTTTTCTCACAGCAGCATCCCTGCCCCCAGTGCCTGGGGCCCCCTTAAGTTGAGTGTGGGTGCCTTTGTTGACTGGCACCTGGCTTCTGAGTCCCAGGGCAGCATGTGCCTGGGGAAGGGCACTAAGCTGGTGGGTTCCTTCGACAGATCTCCAGCGCCATGGAGCAGCTGCAGGAGGCCCTGAAGGTATGCAAGGATGATGCCCACGCCCTCCATCTGCTGGCACTGCTCTTCTCCGCCCAGAAGCACCACCAGCATGCCCTGGATGTTGTCAACATGGCCATCACCGAGCACCCTGAGAACTTCAAGTAAGTGCCCTGAGAACACTCTGGCAGTGGGGGAGCTGGCTGGCCTCTGCAGCAGGTGCCCATGCACACCTGCCCTGCCATGGTGCCAGCCAACACACATGGGGTAAGCACCTGCTGCATGCACAATCCCTGGTAGAGAGACAGGGGGGTGAGGACAGGTGGGGTCAGCAGATAGCTCTGGCACTCTGCACCAGGAGGTGCCTGGTGGGGAATAGGGTGCACGTGCTGCTCCTTAGCCCCCATGAGGTGGGGTCTGCATGGGCCACAAGGGAGACTGCTTGAATACACATGTTTGAGCTGCTTCTGCCTGCCCTGGGCTCTGCATGAGCCTCAGAATGAAACTAACTTGTGTAAGTTAATCATAGCCCTAACACAGTCAGCCAAGGATGGGATTCTAACACCAGCTAGGCTGGCGGCTGGAGACAGGGGTTACGGCCCTCCAAGGTGATCCTGCTCCTTCATATCTCCCCACCTCCCTCATTTACTGCATCAGCCAGATGCCCCACTTCTTGGAGCAAGGTTTAAGTTGCACTCGGCCTAAGTGGTAGTGGGACGCAGAGGACCTGCTGCCACCCAGCCAGGACACTGGGAACAAGGCCGTGCTGGGCCAACTGAGGCGGGAGGATGTGTTGCTCTGTCGGGGGAGCAAGGGGGAGTCATCTTTTGATTTCTGCCTTCTGCCCCTAAGGGCAGGTGACACTGAGTCTAACAGGCTTTGTTTCTCAGAGTCCTGTGATCCCAGATAAGGGACCTCTGAGTAACCCACTTCCCGCTGTTCCACCTTAGGGCCTGAAGGAAGGTGATTTAGAACCAGCCCAAGGCTGTCCCCTGCAGACAGCAAGGAAGAAGCTAGAGTCCTGGCTGCCCTGATAGGTGACTCATGCTGTGTAAATAGGTTCACAAAGGATTAGGAAAAATTGCTGGGTGATGAAGGGAAGCTTCAGTGGTCCCAGCCTAGGGAGGTTCCCATCACTGGGCTTTCACCTCCGTCCATCCCCAGCCCATCAGAGGCAGGGCTGACCACAGGGGTGGGTTCAGGTTTTCCTGCACCCTTGGCCTCCTTCAGACGACAGCAGATAGTTCTGCTCGTGGCCTTTGCCAGCATGCCGAGCACTGCTGTTGGTGGCTTCCTCCTCCCCAAAGCTAAAGAAAGGTGCTTTGGGAGTGGCAGTGTTTCCTAAATATAAACCCCATAATGTGCCTCCCTGAAGAGGGGAGCCCCAGTGACCAAGGCCAAGGACAGGTGTTCATCCTGCTGGTCAGCCTGGTCTGCAGCCCCAAGACCCCTGAGCCTTGCCCTGCTTGCCCTGCTTCTCCTAGTACACACTGACCCCTGCCCCACCCATTCCCCCTCCATCCTGGCCTAGGCAGGTCCCCGCTGCTCACAGCCAGGTGTCAGCAGAATGGCCAACTTGACACAGCCTATCTTTTGTGTTCGTGGCTGGCCCTGATTCTGAGCCTTGCCCCAGCGGCATTCAAGAGACTACTAAAGGCCAGGCGCAGTGGCTCACGCCTGTAATCCCAGCACTTTGGGAGGCCGAGACAGGTGGATCACCTGAGGTCAGGAGTTCAAGACCAACCTGGCCAACATGGTGAAACCCTATCTCTAATAAAAATACAAAAATTAGCTGGGCGTGATGGCAGGTGCCTGTAATCCCAGCTACTCAGGAGGCTGAGGCAGGAGAATCACTTGAACCCGCAAGGCGGAGGTTGCAGTGACCCAAGATCGCACCACTGCACTCTAGCCTGGGCCACAGAGCGAGACTCGTCTCAAAAAAAAAAAAAAAAAAAAAGAGAGACTACTAAAAGTCCAGTCACTTCACCCCCAAAGGCCAGTAGCTTAGGAAATCCTAACACAGAGAAAACAGTGTGTGTGGACAAGGGATTAGTTACCTTGTCTCATTAATCCCAAGTACAGTACAGTAATACGAGGTACAAACATTTTATTTTTAATGAAAGTGCACAAAAGATGTAGGTTCCCCACTCCTAGTGCCAGTGCCTTACTTTGATCCCAGCTCCATCCTCGCACCTCTCTGGCAGGGTCTGACCCACTGCCGCTGGCCTGCGTGCCTGTGTGTGTTTCCACTTCAGTTAGGCTTCATCGGAAACTGAAATGGCCAAGCAGAAAGACTTAGAATCCTAGGCTGGGGAAAGGAAAGGGCTCTTCGTCCACCCTGGGTCTGTGGAGCACAGGAGAAGCAAGAGGCCTGGCTCAGCTCGGCATCAGAATTTCCTAATGAAATCTTACTTGGAAACTGAGACTGTGATGCAGGTGGGAGCACCGCTGCTCTGATGGAGCCAAGGAAGGTGATTCACACCTGCCCAGTTCCAGCTGAGGGGGCCCCTCCATCCCAGCACCTGGCATCTCACCACTCAGCATCTCTTGCTGACTTCTGAACTGATTGCTTTCTACCAGGCTAGAGCAGCTCCCTTGGCCTGCGGTGGGGAGGCTAACTCCCTTTTTTGGAAATCTGGCTGCAGCCCAGGCTGTGTGACGTATGGCAGAAAATGGGGTCTGCCCAGTGTGGGGGACCCACCCCTGTCTCCCCATCAGCTTCCTTGACCGTCACCCCAGGAGTGCCTCCTGCCTTCATCTTCCCAGGCTCTTGGACTGGGCTAGGAAGCTGTCCATTGCCCTGTGGGCAGTATGTGTGCCCCCGCTGCTGCCCTGCCTCGACACATGCACTTTCCACCCTTCCCTTCCTCCCACGCTCACTCGGGTGCTGACTCCTTCCCCAGGAAGTGTGCCACTCACTGACAGTGTCCTTAGTCAGGGGTTGCCTTGAGGTTGGTGACTGCCCCCAGGTGGCCCAAGGGTGGACATCTGGGTCTCCAAGAACCCCTGGACCTGAACTATGACATTTTGTGCATGCGAGTCTGAGTCCATGGAAATGGCTTTCAGCAGATTCTCAAAGGGAGCCCGACCTCAAAAAAGGTTGAGGAGCCCTGGTGCAGACTGCTGTTTGTCAATGTGCAGGGTAACTGTACCCCTGTCTCTCGTGCTTCCCCAAGGCTTGCAGGGAGCTTCCTGGAGAGCAGTGTTTGCAGGCAGGAACCTCTGCCTTGGGAACGACTCACCCATGCAGACATCACAGAGCAACTGCAAGGGCTTCAGGAGCTGTGGAGGGTGGGGCCTAGGGGCCGCAGGAGGGAGTCAGCTCTGAGGTCAGAGGAAAGCATTCCATGCCCTGAGGGATTCTGAAGGTTCTTCTGCAACCTGTACTCTGCTGTCACTCACAGTAGAGTACGTGTGCTGTGGAGCATTTGGGGATCTGCAGGCCCCACCCCCAGTAGTGCCTCACTTTCCTCAGTCTGCTTGTGCAGGGCTGTGGGGCTGGGGGGAAGCAGCAATAGGTTCTTCGTCTTGAGCCACCATGAGCTCCTCACCTCCAGGATCCCGAGGAGCTCTGTTTTGATCCAGCTGGCCCTAAAAGGCTGCAAAACTAATTGGGGGAAAAAAAATTACAGGGACTTTTGGCCTCCAGAATTGTAAGAAAATAAATCTCTGTTGTTTTAAAAAAAAAAAAAATTGTGTCTCTATATACCATTTATAGAGACATAATACTATCTATACGGCTGGGGTAGGGCCGAGAAATCCACCTACCACCAAACTATGGTGAGTGACCACAGGGTATGACCATCGTCTCTTTGTAAGTAAATCAATACTATTCGCCACAGATGAAACCTCAGAGCATAGAAACTCATGGATTAGCAGGAAATGTCACTGAGTCCATTACAGGTCAGGGATCACTGAAAAATGTCATTGCTCTTCGATTGACACTGCACCCTGCTTCCTCAGCTGCTCTCTGCATTTGAGGAGAAGCCGTTTGTGGTTCCAGCTGTTGCCAAGGCAGTTAATTAAACAACCGGTCTGGTAAATATCACTGCGGCAAAACAACAAAAACCAAACTCCCTTTGTCCTGACCTCATCGTCCCCAGCAAGGTCTGTATCCACAGGACACTTAAAGGCACCTTATAGAGGGCTGTCCCAGTGCCTGAAGCCTATTAGAGGCGTCTCCTTTCAGCCGTCAGTGTTAGAGGCCATCCGTGCATGGGATCCCAGAACCTGCTTCAGGAGTGGCAGAAGCTGGCTCGTGCTGGGCATGGGCTTTGCCTGTTTCACCACTTTCAGGGAGGCCTGCCACAGGGGAGGAAACTGGTGGGGGAATGGACCCCTGTCCATGTGAGCTGGTCCTTGTGTGAGAGCCACAGTGAGGTCCCAGCCCTTGAGTCATGTCTGTCACTGGCCTGTGCCACCTGCAGCAACTCACTCCTCTTCCCCTTGCCTCTGTTTGCTCATCTGCCAAAAGACGGACACCTACTCTGTCTTCCTTGGCTTGTGAGGTTTATTGTGAGACTCAGGAGAGGGCACACAGTCGATGGACAGCCGTGTTTGAAAGGTGGCAGTATGGAGGGGAGAGGAGGCTGCCCACCAACAGCATCAGGCTGTATCCTGGGTCCCAAGGGTGGCAGTGCCTGGGGAAGGCCAGATAGGCCAGGAGGTGCAGGCAGCCGAGGCTGGGCCCTGACAGAGGCCGGGAAGGAAGCTCTGGGGAAAGGTTAGTGAGCTCCTTGACTGCACAAGAAGTCACCACTCCCATATAGGCAGACTCTAGGCTCCCGGAGAAAACCCAGCTGTTGTGGAGTCGAACTTTTGAAAAGCTTTCTGACTTCAGGTTAGAAAGCAAAGCGAAGAGGATCTTGATTTCTGTGCTGTGGGATGACCTTTAGCTAGTGGAGCTTGGGTTTAAAAAGGCAAAAAACGTGATGAGGCAGAGACAGCCCCACAGGGACAGCATAAACCTCGCACGGTGGGAACCAGACACCCCAAGCAGCTTCCTGAAATCCTGTGGGCTTCTGACTAAGCCCTGGACACATGTGCCGGCTGGGCTGTCCCCGGCCAAGAGGCCAGGCCCGCAGGGGGCTTCAGGGGGCAGCAGCTCCCTATCCAGGCCTGGGTTCCGGGCCAAGCCGCGGAATGCGAAAGGTCCCGTGCACGC